TAGATCTTTTGTACATATTTTTCTATTATTACCCTAGCTAATAAATACACTACGTTTTTTCATATTCACTCTTTATCTTTTCTCAAAACATTCATCTCTATCCTCATTATGAAGGTTATTATTAACAAAAAAAAATATTTTTAATTAGTGTGCAATTTCTCAAAACGATATCTATTAAAAAAAAGGAAAAAAAAAGGAAGTATTATGTAAGATGTGAACATAATTAATCATATAGATTATGATGTAATTATATCAATTAACATGTTCTGTGTTTTATAACATTGTTGTAAAACAGCTAACATCATTTTATGCAACCTTTCCCACGTTAATTACATCATGGTTTAGATTATGATTCTGCTGGCCAAATATCACTTTTAAAATCTGAATCACTTTTGTTTTCCTTGAAGTTAGACATGGCCAGTCATAGTCAAAGGGCCGGGCCCCGGCCCAGCCCGGCCCAGCCCGCCGACTCCCATGGCTGAACCTTTACCGGCCCGCCAAAAACCAAGGGCCAGGCCCGTGAACCGGCCCTGTCCCAGCTCGGTCCCAGCCCGATCCCGACCCGGTCCCGGATCGCCGGGACCAAAAATAAAAAAATCGAACCCAAAAACGACCCGTAAAACCACGGTTACGGTTCTCGGAACCGACAACCTACGGGCCGGTTGAGGGCTGGGCCAGGACCGGGACCACGAGTCGGCCATGTCTACTTGAAGTACGTTAATAAATAATAAAAAAAATATTTCTATGGATTGCTTTGGTTTGTTTGGACGGCTGAGTTCTCATTATTACCAATAAATTATTAGCTTATAATGATTTAGAAAAGCAGAAGATAGGTTAGCTAGATTAAGTGTTGATTAGCTTAAACCTACACTTTCTCTGCTGACTTTCGATCGAGAAGCCAATTGAACTGAGGTTTTGTGACTGCCTGTCTGTCTAATTCGACATAACGCTATTTTCATTTTATTTATTTATTTTTGAATAAATCAATCATTTTACTTACCTTTGTTGTTAGAAAGAAACAGGTAATTCCCTTTATGATGTGTTCCCTTCTNATTTTATATGCAAACGAGTCGAGCCGAGTCGAGCATTGGTCTTATCGAGTCAGATTAAATTTTTTTTTTTTGCTGCTCGAGCTCGAGCTTGACTCGATAAAAAATTACAATAACTCGAGCTCGGTTCGAGCTCGACTCGAAATCAGAATGCTCGAGCTCGGCTCGAAAAAATTTAAATGAAAAAGTAAAATTACATAATAATATATATAAGTGGTATTTTAGTAACTTCACATACATTGCGAGCCGCTCGACAATGCAAAATATGAGCTCGTGTTCGGTCAAATTCGAGCTCGAGTCGAGCTTAAACTCGAGCTCGAGTCCACTCGCGAGCGGCTTGGTTCGTTTGAAGCCCTACATATAGGTGTACATAACACTCACATTAAATGGGTTCTACCAAAAATAAAATATTAAGTGGACCCCACTCCATGTGAGTGATATATGTACATTTATTATGTACACCTCTATGTACATTTATTATGTACTTGTAACATTTTTTTTTTTGGTTCATATTAAAAATATAAAGATTAAAATGATGAGAAATGCTATAGGTGCATAATATTGTGCATAACACTCACATTAAGTAGGTCCTACCAAAAATAAAAATTCAAGTGGACCCCACTTCATGTGAGTGTTATGTACATCTCGATGTATGTTTATTATTTACTTGTAACACTTTTCTAATGATTACTATGAACATAAATATAACAATTAATCACAAAAAGTTGGTGGAAACATAAATATAACTATTAATTACAAAATGATGTGTTCCACCAGAATATTTCCATACATATATAATAATTCAAGAAGTTTAACAGAGTATGAAATGAAACTCATCACATTAGAATATACAATAATAGGGCATTATTGCATTTATTTTACTCAAGGATGCCACTAGTGTATTTACTAAAATATAAATACCTTTATTTTGTCCTACGAGGGGAGGGTATAGTGATAATCCAACAGAGAAAAGAATTTTAGAATCTTTATTTTCTTTTTCTTTTTTTTTTTTAAAAAAAACAGACTTTTAGAATCACAACATAATGGAAGATGGGATCTGGCCAGAGAAGCTATTAGATGATAATTTTGTTTTTGTCTTTTTAACATAATTTCCAATTAATGTATCTAAAATAATACCCACTTTTAACGTTGGTAGTAAGAAAGATAATAATGAATAATGGTACCACCATGTGAGGGCCATTTCGTTAGGTTGAAAGTCTATGAAAAATTGTTTTAATTTCCACTATCTATCCACCTCATAATTTCCTTTCAACAAATTTTTTAAAGTGGGATGCCTCCACTAAATGGAACCACATAAAAGTGATTAGCACAATAATCCCATCTTTAATTTTAATACATCATCATTGATTCCTTCTTAACAATATACAAAACTTAAAGCTGGGCCCTAATCCATGTGATGACAACCATCGAATTAATATTATAATGAGTGGGTCTACTCTTAAAGCTGTCCCGTGATTAAGCTAATGACATAATATTAGCACTATTGATAAAGGCATGGTAATAGGAATTTGGTCCCAAGGCTGTGATTTGTGAGAAACTAAATTTTAATAATATATTGACCGTCGAATTATGTACTCCTGGGCCCTGGCCCTGGCCCATCTTCAAACGTGTGAGATCCAACATCTGTCAATACCAAAGTATTCATTCTTAATTCTACCAAACTTAACTAAGAATTCTTCTACTTTTCTAGTGATGTTACCTTCAGAATACTTTGTCCAACTTCGTTTCACATCCTCGATTTTAATTGAATATGGTTCCTCCATACTTAATTTTTACGAGTCACAAAAAAATTCTCTTAATAACCTGTTTTGAATAGTGTTATTTAAAAACAATCATGCACGATGGATAAGATTTATTATATTGCTTAACTTTACATGTTCAAACGAGCCTACAATTAATGTCCATTGTAACGATGTTGAACATATGTGTTACTAACATGGGTTCAACAAGGAAGAAGACATCAGAAAGGACGAAGCTTGGATCATAAGCTGTGATTTTTCAGGCAATTGACAAAGGTTCGCGGGCCAAAGAAGGTGATGAGGAAGAAATCACCGGCGAGGGGAAGGCTGAGAAGGGATGCAACTAAATGAATGAAATTATGATTGGATAATTGAGTTATGTGGGTTAGGTACTTGTTGGGCTTAGTAATAGTATTTCATTATTAAGTTATTGGGTTAGTTGGTGTTGTTGTTGGCTATTGGGCCTTATTTATGTTAGAGATCCCAAGTCAAATTGGTGAAACAGTATATGCTTGTTACCTATTGGGCCTTATGTACTTGTTTTCATTGATTCTGGAAGCACACTAAGTTTCATACAAGCTAAGCACTGCTCAATCTTTGGGTTTGCCTTTAAATTCTGTCAAACCCTTGATGGTCAAAATTGCCAATGAACAGAGAATGATAAGCTCGCATATAGTGGAGGGATTTCAGTGGTTTATGCAGGGACTAAACTTCACTGAGTGCTAGATAATGAGGATTATGACATGAAACTAGGTGGTGATTGGCTGAAGAGTTGCACATGCACTCCCATTGAACTAGATTATAGTATTTTTTATCGAAAATTTTTAGAATAAACGTAAATGTGATATTAAAATGACTATTATTTATAATAGTAGAAAGAATAGTTAATTATAGGCAAAATTGCACCTCACATCACGACCTCTTCGACTTTTGCGTTTCTGTCACCACTTTGCGACTTTGACAATTCGATAACCTTTTGGTATTTTGCAAGACCACGCATTGACCACATTACCGGTCGACCAATGCCAACCTGTCCGGCCATTTAATCCAACATGGCTCTGATGTTGACGACGTGGCTCAGGCAACATATACATGTTAGCAAAACGACGTAGTTTCTTTGATCCAACTGTTATAAAACCGAAACATCCCCAAACTCAAATCACAAATCCCTAAATTCATCCCTAATCTTCGACGTGCGACCCTATTTTCGACAAGAAATTGTTCCTTCAGCTGCAAAGAATCACTGCAATCTCTATCTTCGACCCTCTCTCCACACATGGCAACAAGCTCGACCAACAGTGGAGCTTCGAATGGAAGTGCAACCCACACACAAGTCCGTTGTTACTGTCCAGATGAGGCCGATTTGCTGATCTCGCAAATTGATGCAAATCCGGGTCGAAGATACTTCCGTTGTCCACGTCGAAAGGTAAGTTTTATGGACAGATTTTACTCTAATTTTTTAGAAATAATTCGAAACATGATGGACAGATTTTGCCCTAATTTTTTTTTTTAATTCGTCATAAAATAATTTTGATGTTTGTAATCTAATGATTGTATTGTAGTTTAAGGACTGTAAGTTCTTCTTATGGTGTGATCCTGAGATTCCACCATCTCAAAAGGCTGCTTTTTTGAAGTTCAAGAATGAAAGGAAAGGTTTGGGTGATGAATTGAAATGCAAAGAAGAGGAGGTCAAAGTGATAACCTTAAGATTGGACATCATAGAAAGAGAGATGTTGGAGCTGCAGGTGAAACATGCTAAATTGGAGGAGTTTATAGACACACTTGTTAAGAAGGAGAAGTTTCCAACTTCATTTGTAATGTTCATGTTGGCTTGTGTTGTTCTTCTGTTAGTGCTGAAGTAGATGCAAGTTAATGTGACTTTGGGTGTGTTTAGAAGGTTAATGACTTTTGATTGAAGGTGTACTTTGGGTGTGTGAGAAGGTTGATGACTTTTGATTGAAGGTGTGCAAGGTGTGCTGATGAATATTGTGTTCTTGGTTTTATGATTGAAAGAAGATGTGATCTTTCACTGAACTTATGTATTTTAGTTGTTATTATTAGTTAACTGAAGACCTTATTTTCATGTGTCTTTTACATTACAATGGTGGAGATGAGGTTTTTTTTCTGTTGTTTAGGGGACATGATAATGTGTATTGTGTTTATGTTTTGTGTTAATGCATTCACATAGTATTTACATACCTATAAGTAATGAATAGCACCAAACAACACCAAACAAAAAACACCAAACAATAAGTAATGAAGAGCACCAAACTATCCAGGTGCATTTGGATTAAAACCAACAAAAACCATCACGTCTGTCAACAACTCTGAAAATAGTTAACATCATCTTTGTCCACACATCCAACCAAAAACATAATCTTTGTCCAAACATCCAAGAAAAACCAAGTATCAATACATGAAACAACTAAGAAAATAGTTTGTGACCAATCATCCCAACAACTAACATCCAACAAATGTGTTCACCAAAAACCAAACCAAACATCCATTGAACTAACTGGCTGCACTTTCTTGAGTGCCAATGGTGTGACCTCTGCCACTTATAGTCCTTCCACTACCACCTCTACCAGTTCCTCTATGTGAGCTACTTCCACTGGCACTAGCACTGCCACTACTCCCACCTCTACCTGATGGGCCTCCATGTACAAGATGAACTCTTCTTGCAGTGGACATCTGTTGAAACATAAACATAAACATGACTACATAACCTCATGCAAATATTGCCAGTCTGCTCAGATAAAGATAAAATTTATACCCTCATGTAAATATTGCCAGTCTGCTCAGACACCAAGACTCCATAACCTTTTTTTGCCTGTCATAAAAATATAAATGTCTTTTAATGTTCACCAATGAAGATTAAAACCAATGAAGATTAAAGGAATGAAGATTAAAACCAGTGAAGATTAAAGGAGCAAAATTAGAAAAATATAAAAGTTACCAAATTGCGTTCTTTGTGTATTTGACTCCCATGATCATTTAAAGTCGGTTCAGTCTGAGTCAACCTGGGAGATTTCCTAATTGGTTGTTTCATAGCAGATTGAGGAGCAACTGGATGAGCTGTTTCAGTTTGTGTATATGCTGGTGGAGGATTCTCAGATGCAGAGGGTTGTGGCACTAAGTTCTGAGCTGGTGGAGTTTTTCTTCTTGGTTCTTTCTTCTTCATTTGACTCTGCATAAAACATAAGCATTAGAGCTTATATTTTTCAATTCACTAAATTCTAATTTTGAATACAATTTGAGATCAAATCATTTACCTTCTTTGGGTTCTGAACTGAGGCATTAGAGCAACTCTTCCTATTATGGCTAGTTTGAAAGCAATTTTGGCAAGTCATTTGCAATCCAAACCTTTTTAGCTTTGTGCTACTCTTTGCCTCCTCCTCAGGTGCTCTTTTTCTTGAATTTTTTTTGGGTCCCCCAGGCATCCTTCTAAGAGTAGGTGGTTTGATTGGATAACCAACAGCTTCAGGCCACATTTTTTTACCATTGAGAGGCTCAAGTCCTTTTGAATAAGCTGTAATATACCTCTCAACATAGTAATAAGGATGCACATAGTCACTCAAATCATGCTTCAGCCAGTTTATTGCTGCACATGCATGAACACAAGGGATCCCACTAACATCCCAAGATCTGCATGTACATGTCATCTCTCTCAAGGATACAACAAACTGGTCTTCTAAAAGTCTCTTTTGTAAAGAAGTCCTTGAAGGCTTTATCATCTACTGCTTTCAAATCCTCAAGTGCTTCCTTGTATTCAGCCTCATATGTGCTATGCACAAGCTTTCAAAAGCAATTCTTCAAAGTCTGCCCTTTGTGAGTTTTTTTCCAGTTCATGTACACATGCCTAGCACAATTCCTGTGCTCAGCATGTGGGGCATAAGTCCTGACAACATTCATAAGTCCCTGCATAATATGAATAAACAAAATATCAACTCTGTAATAGATGAATATTGTACATATGTAAAGTATTATTCTAACCTTTTGTTGATCACTTATGATAGTCCAGCCCAAACCATCCCTTATTTTGAGCTCTGAAAATAGTTTTTCCAAGAACCATGACCAAGTAAATTCATTCTCCATGCAAACAACTCCCCATGCAATTGGGTAAATCTGATTATTTCCATCTTTGCCCACTGCACACAACAAGACATCTCCTAAAGATGTCTTCAAGAAGCAGCCATCTAATCCAATCACTGGTCTGCATCCTTGTAAAAACCCATCCCTCAATGCACTAAACCCAACATACATGGCCTTGAAAAAGCTGCCCTCTTCCAAAAGAACTTCAAACCTCCCAGCCCTATCAACTCTCATCAACTCAGCAATGTAGCTTCTTAAGCACTTATAATGCTCTTCTTCAGATCCTCTAATCATGTCCAATGCCTTCTTCTTTGCTCTATACAACTTCCATTTTGAAGGCTGAACAGCATACTTTTCAAGTAGGTACTCCTCTAACTCAACAATCTTCATTCTTGGCTTCTTTCTGAATTTGTTAATGCATTCTTTAGCAATCCACCTAGCATTAGCCTGTCTTGTTCTAATGTCCCTGGTACAACTGTGCTTTGAAACAAAAGTCTTGATTGCAACTCTTCCTTCAGCCTTGATTTCACTAGCATATATCTTCCAAGGACAACCATCAATGCACTTGGCCTCTACCTGATGTTGATTCACTCTCCAAAATTGGATATTACACCCATTATACACAACATATCTTTGAATGACCTCTTTACACTGAGCAATGTTCTCAAATCGCATTCCAAGCTGAAATGTCAGTGCCTTGTGATCACAATTTGGGTTTTACAACACCATTTTCATCTTTTTCCTTCTCTTGTTGTCTTCAATATCCTCACTATCATCATCTGATGTGTTTGAATCAATTTCATCTGAGTCTCCATACTCTGATGCATCATACTCTCTGAATAGTTCACTTGGATCACCATTGGTGGGTCCACTCTGAGAGTCATCTTGTGTACTGTTCATTTTCTTGTCACCAAAAAACCTTGTTTTCCTTGCTAGAAGGTACTCCTCATCATCAGTTCCCAAGTCACCCTCAGAAAGTCCATCTTCACTAGAACTCCAATTTGATGGGTTATAATCATCATCATACTCTCATCATTATCATTATCATCATCAACATCATCAACACAAGTAGGTTGAACATGATCAGTGGTTCCTCCTGCCCCCTTTTCACTAGCATTATTGATCACAGATTCTTCTGAAGGCTTTTTCTGCCCATCTTTTTCATTATCAACAAATAGATGAACATAGAATTTGTTGGGCTGCAAACTCCCAATCACCTCCATCAAAGTAGCATCATTGTGGATATGTATGTAACTAACCGATCCATTTTCTCCACGTATCTTATGATAAATTTTGCCAACCTTAACATAACCAAGTTTCTCAACTACATCTACTAAATCCAAATAACCAAACCTGTCAATATCAATACCATGGCTAATGTGAATATCTCCTCCAAAATACTCCATCGCATTATCCAGCATAACAAACTTCCCACCGTGATTGACAAAGATTGATAATTTTTCTCTGAAAAAGCATAGAGTATACGATTTCTCTCAGAAATCAGAGAACCTTCATCAACATACTACACCTAAATGAACCCTAATCTATCAATTATAAATAAATAATGCATAATGCAATTATATGAAAACAAAAAACAAAGAAGAAGAGAAGAGATGTTGTTTCATACCTGTCCATCAGTTGCAACAAATTCTAGGGTTCTTCAGAAAGTTGTTTCAACAAAAACAATCGATGGCTCTTGGATTTATACCGAATCAGCTTCGCATTTACAGAAAAAATAGGGTTCGGAAAAGGATTTCGAATTTGCAGAGAAAAATTTGGGACTATCGATTTTCAGTTGAAGGGTTTTTTGTTGAATTGGGTTTGGGTGTCGATTAGGATTGATTTTGTTTTGTCTTTTTATTTTTTTATTTTATTTTACAAGAACAGTTGGATTTGCTGACATGTATATGTTGCCTGAGCCACGTCGTCAACATCAGAGCCATGTTGGATTAAATGGTCAGACAGGTTGGCATTGGTCGGCCGGTAATGTGGTCAATGCTTGGTCTTGCAAAATACCAAAAGGTTGGGTATCGAATTGCCAAAGTCGCAAAGTGGTGACAGAAACGCAAAAGTCGAAAAGGTCGTGATGTGAGGTGCAATTTTGCCTTAATTATATTTCTATCTTTGCATTTATGAGATGACTATTAAAATTAAGTTAAGGCATTCTATTATTAACCACGGCGCAAAGAAATAAAAAGAAACTTCAAACGATCAAAAAGTTAGAAAATAAAAATTCTACATACAGTAGTTGATTTTTTATTAGTTCTTCATTAAAATAAAGTAAGAAAAAATAATTCCAAACAAAAAAAATAAGAAAAAAATCCACTTGTTCACTTCAGTCAATCCACGTCACCACAACTTTAAAAGAAACGCGTCTTTGCCGTCATCACTCCAATCCACTTCACCTAATTCTAAATTAAACCCCCAACTAACTTAATCAGTCACTTTACTTACTACATAATTTTCTAATAAAAATGTTTAAAAAAAAAAGTCCCCCTCTCCTTTTGTTTTCAAATGTTCTAGAAACATTCAAATAGATTATTTTAGAAAACTTTATTTGAATGGGCAAACTAGACATGGCCAAAGGGTCGCCCGGCCCGACCGGCACTGACCCGACCCGGACTCGACACTGACACGGCCCGGTCAAACTCGTTGACCACGGGTCCGGAACCAGTCCGGATTTCAGACGGGTCGTGTAAGGGTCATACATTTCATGACCCGGCCCGGAAGGTCAGGGCCGGGCCGGATCAATGACCTTTCTTTTCAATTTTTTTTTTAATTTTTTTATACCTTTTTTTCAAAAAAACACGGTCCCGGCACGGCCCGGACCCGGCACGAGTATAGGTCCGTGCCGGTTCAGGGTCAGTGTTTTTGAGTCCGGCGACTTGGCGGGCCGGGCCGGGTTGTGACCCGGCCCGGGTTTTGGCCATGTCTAGGGCAAACAGTGTAAAAAACTATATTTAAAAAAAAAATTGGTAAAAGAATGAAATATTATTGAAATTTGAAACTGAAAATATTTCGTATCAATATCTCCCTTAATAATCATAAATCATAATAATCTATATAATTTCTGTCTTCCTTAGCACACACTGTAAGCCATGACCCTTTCCACTTCCACACGATGGTTTGACAAATCCTACACGCTATCTCACTTTCTCTGAAACTTCCTCTTTCCCATCCCTTCATCCACCATTTATAAATTACCATTTTCCTGCATTATCATTTTCTCATACCTCACACACTACTCTTCTCTTCATCTTTACCCATCATCAATATTTGGTTTTCAACTCTTTTTCCTCACCTCCCTTTTGTGCAAATCCCTAAACAAAATCGATGGACAACACAAATCAATCGTCTTTCTGGCAGTTCAGCGACAACCTCCGCCACCAAACCAGCACCCTGGCCGATCTCTCCCTCAACGACTCCATCTGGAGCGCTAACTACGCCGCCAAGCGCCCGGCCGAGCAGCGCCGGAACTTCGATTTCCGTAACCCAGGAGCAGACGCCGGGTCAAATCTTACCGGCGACACCAAGACCGATTTCAACGACGTAGGGTTTAACAACGACGTCTGGGGCTGGAAGGCACCGATCAACGACAGCCTGAGCGGGTCCAACGTTAATTACTCCCCGTTCGGAGCGGGCGGCGGGCCCGATTTCGCTGCCCCGGTCCCCCGCGACCCGAAGCCCGATTTCAACAACCTAGGGTTTAACAACGACGCTTGGAAGGCTCCGATCAACGAGAGCCTGGGTGGGCTCAACGGTAAGTACTCCGGGTTCGGATCCGGGCTGAACGGCGGGTTCAATAAGGGGATCTACTCCTCGCCGTCGTTGAATTTCAACAGTTACAGCAAGGGCAGGGGCTTTGCGAACAACGTGGTGGCGAACGGTAAGGTGATTAAGGGCGGTAAGAATGAGGATGTTAATGGGGGAAAACATGGGAAGAAGAATAAAGGCAACAGAGAAGGTAATAAGGATAACAAGAATAATGGAAATGGTGAGAATAAGAATGCGGTGGATAAGAGGTTTAAGACCCTGCCGCCAGCAGAGGCCTTGCCGAGGAACGAGACAATTGGCGGTTATATCTTCGTCTGCAACAATGATACCATGGCTGAGAATCTCAAGAGGCAGCTTTTTGGTACGTGAATCTTACTGTTTTTTTAACTTACTTTTCCTATTTTTAGTCTTTTTCATGTGAAAGATGTGATTGAGCTGATTGCATCTTGTGGATGAATTCAGATGCATGTGATTTGTTTGCGATGATGGTATAATTTGTATGCTTTTGGTATATGTGTATATGTAGTTTAAGAAAATAATTTGATCTTATATTCAAAGTGATCTATGTTATACCATTCTTAATTAGTTCTTCAAATCCTCTGGTATTAGTTGTGATGATAAACAATTCAAATCCTCTGGTATTAGTTGTGATGATAAACAATTCTATGAAGAACATGATAAAACGAAATAGAATGGGCATACTTGGTGTAAAATTCTTCAAAAGATTGTGTATACTTATCTAGTTATGTGTTTGTCTCATTATCAATATTATATTTGGAACAAGTTTGATTTCTTTTTATTCTTTTTTTTTATCTTGGTTTATTTGTTGTATAGTCTTATATCTACTCTCGTTTAATTTTCCTTGTTTGCTAATTTGATTGGACAATCTCAAATCACAGGCTTGCCCCCTCGTTACCGTGACTCTGTCCGCTCAATAACTCCTGGATTGCCTCTCTTCCTTTACAACTACTCAACTCATCAGCTCCATGGAATTTTTGAGGTTTGTACTCAAAATTGAGCTCTTGAATGGGGAAAAAAGATTTGTTCTTTAATGTAAAACATTGACATATTTCATTTGTTATTTTCCAGGCTGCGAGTTTTGGAGGGTCTAATATTGATCCATCGGCTTGGGAAGACAAGAAAAATCCCGGTGAATCACGCTTTCCTGCTCAGGTGTGTGAGTTTAGAAAGTTCGTCATTTTTCTGTTAAAATCGTATCACACAGTTTCTTGGTTTTTATATTTTGTAAATTTAGATTGGAACTGAACTCAATTTTGTACCATGCTTGTGTAGGTTCGTGTTGTGACTAGGAAGATCTGCGAACCATTGGAAGAGGACTCATTCAGGCCAATTCTTCATCATTATGATGGCCCCAAGTTCCGTCTCGAGTTGAACATCCCTGAGGTAAAATCATGCCCTTCAACTTTTGCATTTTTTGTAAACAAAATAATTCATAATTCGCAACACGGAACAAATGTCGAGCATCGTTGGTAATTCTGAAAGATTGCTAACTTCTTTCTGTGTGTTTCTTCAGTTTTTCCATTAACTCATTTGGTAACATTTGCTAATACTTATCATATTATGGGTTTCATCATGGCAGGTCCTCTCTCTGTTGGACATCTTTGAAGAGAACAATGCTTGAATTTACGAACACACATAATAATATGAAGAGATGAAAAGGGAAGCTAAGAGCTATATGGATGTTTGGCGGGTAAAATCGAGTGCTGGAAGAGAGTAGGCAGTTGAATTTGAGAGAGTGGTGTTTGCAAGTATATAATATAATATATATTCATACAAGTTTTTTATGCAATGTAGGGTGGAGTTTATGCTCCCCTTATTGTAATATGATCATGATGAAAGGTATATACATTATAAATATACAGACAAGCAAAAGACTCGGAGATTGAATTATGTTAAAGGCCGATCTATTATTGTGTATAGTTTGCAACAGCACTGATATTAAAAATGTTTTGCACTGGATTTTGATGAATAATTAAACTGATGTGCGGCTCGTTTACTCATTGCTAAGTAAATTAAGACACTTAAATCTATTTTGTTCAATGCTTAAGTAACGTAAGATCTGGAATGAAAACCATGTTTACACGTTATACATTTAATATATATAAAAATATTCATATTTATGATAAAGACATTTCTTGTCTATGTTGGCTTTTTAAAGATATTATTTCAGTTTCTGCTCTCTGATAGGCCAACAACTTACGGAATAATATATATATTATAACATTAAAAAAAGAAGAAGAAAACAAATACTACAACGAATGGAATATATCAATTTTAAAATAACAAAGAAAGACTGAAAAAAGATTGCGTGCTAATTATTCAGTCATAAAAGTCCACCATCAATGATTTTACGTTAAATAAATCATATTAACGTATCAGCACCGCTACCATTTGAAACAGTTGAAATTATATTTTAATTGAATAAGTATATCTTACCGTTGTCTTCACGGGATGACTTTCAAATAAATTGATGAAGGGGTGGATAGCTACTCTCTCTTCATCGGTATTAATTTATTACAACTTTGTTTTAGGTGTAACTGCTAAAGCCTAAAGTAGACTAAAGTGCACCGGCCGTATTGAAGAAATGCAACATGAGTCGATTTTAAGTGGATTTGATTTGATTTATTACATAAAAATTGAGTTAAGATAAAAAATAAAAAAAAAAAACTCTGATGTGATGGAGATTTAAATTTACTTTTGAGATTATGATTGAATAAGAGTTAAAATATATTGATATAAGAATTGTAAAATAAGAGTTGTACACGATTAATATTTAAAAATATGCGAGGAGATAAAAAACGAGTTTAGTTGGATATTATGTAGTTATAATTTATTTTATTATTTAAATATATTGATAATATTGAGAAAGGTTAAGTTGGATTTTATTTGAGTTTGAATTTGAATTCAAAATTAATATCCAATCGTATTTCTAAAAAAATATTCAACAAAAAGAAAATCTAAAAAAATTATAACTAGTTCCAGATAACTTTTCAAGATCATAGTTTTATTTATTTTTATATATTTGGTTTATCTTTTGTACTAATGCACCTTCAAGAAGTGGTGCTAACTATTCTTCAATTTTCTATTTTGGACGTCATCGGAGACAATTCTAGAAGCTCATTTATTTTGACTTTTTATTTATTTATTATTTTTCAGGCTGAGTCGATGCAATTGTTAACGAAGAATTAACATTAATAGAAAAGAGTTTACATAAACAGAGTACACAAAGCAGCCAATGAGATAGACTACAGAACCATCAAATGCCAAACTACTAAGGATCCAAACTGAAAAACCAAATTGCTAATGCAAACTAAACTGACAAACAACTGACAAAACACAGCAGGAGAAAGGGAGAACCAACTCTGGACAAGTTGGCCTAGAACAGATAGAGGGACAAAAGGCACAACCATTGGGCAGCATATAATACTGAGGCCCTGGGACATACCTTTTGACAAAAAGAATGACATTCTAGCCACTGTGATAATCACCTAGCTAGAAGAAAAAGAAATAAGAAAAAAATTAGGGTCGAATACTAGTTTAGTGAATAATTTGATAAGAAATTATAATTGAATAAATCAATCGAATTAATATAATTTGATAAGAAATTATTATATAATTTATAATTGAATATTTATTAAATAATATATAAATCTCAGTCAGTTCAAAATTAACATATATTACAATCTCGGTCATTTTTGCAGAAATTGGCATCGTCATCCTCGAATCCTCAACCTTACACCCCACACCCCGGCCCCAATGACCCGTCACTTCTATATCTTCAGAACCGCCACCGGTCCAAAGCGGTATATGAGGACGCACCCGGGTTTCGCCACGGTGTGGTTAAGCCACGCCGTGCGGACACCCAGTTCTGGGCTGCCTTGGAGAGCAACAAGCAGAATGCCCGGACCTGGGAGGTGATCGACAAGGCCGGCTTCGGGCCTATGTTTCGGATGGGGCGGGTCCCGACAAACAACGGCCTCATTACATGCCTGTTGGAGAGGTGGCATCCGGAGACGCACACCTTCCACTTCGACTTTGGGGAGGCCACGATCACTCTCCAGGACGTTCAGATACTGTTTGGCCTCCCCGTCAACGGGGAACCGTGCAGGAGACATACCGTACAGAGAACTCCCCAAGAGTGGAGAGCCGTTTGCGCGGACGCTCTAGGGTACCTCCCATATGTACAGGTATATTTTTACCTAAAACTTTTATTTGCTTATTTTTTTTTATTGTGTTTATGTATACTTAAGTCATGAGTCGTTTTTAATATATATATATATGTAAACGTATTTCAAGAATGTCGGGGACCAGGACTACGACCCCAAGACTTGGGACATTTCAGGCAGTTCCTGTTTTTCAGTAGTCTGAAAGACGAGTGCAAGCGACCACTGGAGGATGGACTCCCTGCATCATAGTACGAGGGGAGGGCGAGAGCCCTCATACTCTGGTGTATTGGGTCCTTCTTCTTCTCCTCTCATCGGGCCAACGGAGTCAACCTCTATTGGCTGTCCCTATTGAATGTCATTGATGTCATTCTGGGGTACAGCTGGGGTGGAGCGCTTCTGGCCGGGGTATATAGAGCGCTCTGCGAAGCTTACGATAAGGAAGAAAAATATATCAAGAGCTGCGTGCAGTTGATTCAGATAAATTTATTTACTTGTGGTTTGTATATTATAAATTACAATAATATGTGCTAAAAAATGTATATGTCCATATGCGCAGGTTTGGGCATGGGAACGCATCCCTCGTGTTCGCCCAATCATGAAAAATACGCATTTCGGCTCTCAGCCTGGTTGTCCCTTGGGTGCAAGGTAATAATACCCCATTTATTTATATTCAACTCTTACGTTATTTCAATTATCAATTTTTTTAATTACAAATAGTTTTTTTTCTGTGATTTTTAAGGTGGGTGGGATCGAGGGACATGAGGCACCTGGGGACGGGCACGGCTACCATCCGAGATCAGCTGAGTGGCCTGAGAGAGACTGATGTAAGTTTCCTAGGTCATAATAATAAATAATTGTTATTTTTTTAATTCTATTTTTTTTATTACATTCATTAATAATTCTATAAATGTTTTTTTTTTACAGTTCAATTGGGTACCCTATCAGACGTACATAGACGAGGTCGGCTCCCGGACCAGTGTATACGAGACCGACATCTCTGGATGTACAAGGGGTGGATCTTCTGCTGGAACATCACAGAACCCCACCAGCCTGATAGGGTGCTCCGCCAGTTTCGGTGCCACCAGCCCATCCCCCAGACGCCGATCATTACTAGTCTGGCCGACTGGGACACCCACCACAGAGGCCAGGGCATGACTGGGAGGGCATATACCGATTGGCAGGCCTTCCATGCTGATCTTGGGAGGACCTGGACCGAAGAGAGAGATCAGAACGTCCTCCCAGATGTCCCGGTGGATCCCTTCCTGCAGCCGGCAGAGGGGTACATTGATTGGTATCACAGTAGGACTGTAAGACTATTCAATGACCTTAACAACTACGCGGCGATCTCACAGGACGGCGGGTTTCAGCCATATGCCAACCGGGAAAAGTGTCAGGTAAGTGTCTGCTAATTTGTGATTTTTATTATTATTATTATTATTATTATTATTATTATTATTATTATTATTATTATTATTATTATTATTGAAGTTATTATTATTATTATTTTTAATATTTAATAGATATTTGAATTTTATTTTCAGAATTCGGGTACGGAGGGGGCGTATAACATGCTATCGAACATTGAAGACATTGATACGCTACCTCCCCGAGCGCAGACACAGTTCCAGCAAGCTCAGGAACTTCTGTACGCTTCTCTGAATGTTGGGGGTCATTCGATCACACAAGGGGCGTCGTCGGAGCAAATTTTATCTCAAGAGGAGTACGCCCCACCCCAGCAGACACAGTCCCAGCGGGCGAGGCATAGACCGATGTCCCACATTGGTGGAGGGAGAAGACGCTGTGACCGCGAACCCGCCGCTGCATTTCCCGGGAATGAAGAAGACAAAGAAGGTGAGATTTTTTATTTAACTACAATATATATTTTTTTTGTTTGCTTTTATTTATTTGTCCGGTCGAATTACTGATTTTTTCCAAAAATTAATGAATTAGATGGACAAGAAGAAGAACCAGCCACGCCTGGACCAACTGCAGGACCGACTGCAGGATCGTCTTCTTCGGTACCGGGGCCTCGGAGAGGGTCCCGAAATCGTAGGGCTAAGGTTGCATTTACTCCTAGTTAGTTATATGTTTTGTATTTTGTGATTTTTTGGACATTTTCTTTTTTCTTTTATTTTTTGTACTCGATTTTCAGATATTTATTTTTGATGGTTTTGTATATATTTTTTGTGGTTCATTTATTTTTATCGGTAATTGTGGTTGACTTTTTTTATATAGTGTTTTGTGTATGTATGTATGAATTGTAAATTTATAATTTGACGAATGAATTGATATTAAAGTGATATTATTTCATGTTAAAAATGTTAAATCAATATTTATAAAAAACATTTATATTGAAGGATAAGAATAAAAATTCAACTAAATTAAACGCGATTGCTGGTAAAACAAGTTCGTGAGCATCAAAGAGTCGAGCTTAACAAAAAAAAACAAAAACAAAAAAAAAGAAAAATACAAGAAACACGGATTCTTAAAATCCGTGTCTTTAAAAAAAATTAATTATTGATTCTCATAATCCGTGTTTAAATATAACACGGATTATGAAAATCCGTGTTACCCAACACGTTATTTAAAAATCCATTTTCACTTGACTTAATTAAGGGTAATCACGTCATTAAGAAAACACGGATTGTGAAAATCCGTGTTTCGGTCAAAATAAGTCAAACAAGGATTCTCAAAATTCGTGTTTCAATCAAAACTAGTCAAACGCGGATTTTGAGAATCCGCGCGTTTTAGATTTGTCCACACTCTTTTTTTTTTTATATTTATTTTTGTCCACATAATTTTTTTTTATTTGATTTAAATAAATGATTCCGAGTTGGACCAAGTTACCGTTAGGCTTACCCACGCAATAATTTAAGTCCCGTGAAATGGTGCAAGTTC